AGCAGCAGGGCAGAAACGCCATTGCTTTTTAGGGAGTTCATGTCCCGCCCTCTGTTCCCCATTAGAAGGTCTCTGCTTCTGGAACACTCTCAGCGTGCTAAGAGTTGGGGTTCCAGCATGAGGCATAGCTTTGAAACCAGGCCCCACCACGTACTAGCTGTGTAACTATGGCAATGCCAGTTAACATCCCCGAGCCTCAGTTTCCCTATCTGAAACATGGGGACCATGGTGGCACCTGCAGCCCCACGAGGTCATGAGGCTTGAATGATTCAGGCAGAGCATCAGGCTGCAAGCAGACATTGGTGAGTGTCAGTTGCTGTCATGGCAATAATTGTCAGGTTGGTACAAAATTAATCGCGGTTTCGGACCACGAATTTTAAATCATTATAACTAGGCTCAAACGCATCTTTATTAATCAAAATAGGAACCATTACAATCAACACATTTTTGCTGACGAGAAATAAGTTTGTTTATTCCTGTAGCATAAAAATCCGTGCTTCAGGATTCAAAGAACTCTTGGAAAGCAATTTCTGCATCCTGCTGGTTGTGGAAGTGTTTTCCTCCAAGAAGTTGTCAAGAAGCTTGAAGAAGTAGCAGTCAGATGGCGAGAGGTCAGGTGATATAGGGGATGAGGCAAAACTTCGTAGCTCAATTCGTTCAACTTTTGAAGTGTTGGTTGTGCGATGTGCGGTGGGCCATTGTCATGGAGAAGAACTGGGCCCTTTCTGTTGACCAATGCCAGCTGCAGGTTTTGCAGTTTTCGGTGTATCTCATCGATTTGCTGAGCATACTTCTGAGACGTAATGGTTTCGCTGGGATCCAGAAAGCTGTAGTGGATCAGACCGGCAGCAGACCACCAAGCAGTGACCATGACCCTTTTTTGGTGCAAGTTGGCTTTGGAAAGTGCTTTGCAGCTGCTTCTCAGTCCAGCCACCAAGCTGATTGTCCCTGGTTGTTGTGTACAATCCACTTTTTGTCGCATGTCACAATCCGATTGAGAAATGGTTTGTTGTTGTGTCGTCTTCTCTTGTATGACGCAACTTCAAGATGATGATTTTTTTGATTTTTGGTCAGCTCACGAGGCACCCACTTACTGAGCTTTTTCACCTTTCCACTTTGCTTCAAGTACCGAATGACTGTAGAATGGTTGAGTTCTTTGGCAACTTCTCCTGTAGTTGTAAGAGGATTGGCTTTGATGATGGCTCTCAATTGGTCGTTGTCAGCTTCCGATGGCCGGCCACTGCGCTCCTCATCTTCAAGGCTCTCGTCTCCTTTGCAAAACTTCTTGAACCCCCGCTGCACTGCACGTTCGTTAGTAGTTCCTGGGCCAAATGCGTTGTGGATGTTGCGAGTTGTCTCCGCTACTTTACGACCCATTTTGAACTCGAATCAGAAAATCGCTCGACTTTGCTTTTTGTCTAACGTCATTTCCATAGGCTAAAATAAATATAAACTAAACAGCAAGTAATAAGTCATTAGCAAAAAAACATAAAGTGAGAAATGTGCATTAAAATGTTGTATAACATAACCACATTTATTTAAGAATATATTCCAGTAGCAAATGGCAAATGTCAACAATGCTAAACCGCAATTACTTTTGCACCAACCTGATAGCAGGTAAGGACGACAGACCCTGGTGGGGGCCCAGAGGACAGTGAGGAGCCCCCATTTGGAGGTGTCCCTGCTGGAGCCCTCACTGTCACCCTTACCGAGGTGGACAGGTTGGCACATGCACTAACTGCAGCTCCCTTCCCACAGCACCCCCTGCCCCTCTGCCAGGGACACATGTCAGCCTCTGCCCACCCCTGGCTTCTGGCTCTGCGTGAGGGTGGTCTTGTGCAGAAATGACTGGCAGGACGGAGGCACTCGGGGCAGCTGACAGTGGGGTGGGGATTTCCCCTAATGACCCAGGAAGACAGATGTGGCCACATGTGGCTTCTTGAGTGGAAATGCTGTCCAGACAGACATCTGTGTCCCAGACCCCAGGGAGCCGGGCCTGTGTGGAGGGACAGGGACTCGTGCACTCTTGTGCCCAGCCTGGAGCCTGCCGAGGTGTCCTCCAGCCTGCGCCGGGAGGTGGCTGTTTTCAGGCCTTGCCTCTCACGTCCCATTGGCTCTCCACGCTCTGGGCGTCTCGGGTTGGCTGGGCCCTGGTGGGCTCTGTGCTGTGGCGGGTGCCGGTGCTGTTTCTCTGGCTCTGCTTCCCACGTGGATGCCCTGAGCACACACGTGCTCACCACTGTGCTTGTGGCGGGCACACAGCTGCCGTGGGGAGGAGGATGCATAGAGGAAACAGCGGTTCTCGAGGTGTGTTCCGGGGACCCTTCAGACCTCTACAGGGGACCCGTGAAGTCAAAATAGTCATCACAACAATACTGAGCTATGATCCGCCCTTTCTTCTCTTTCTCTCATGAGCGTACATTTCTCAGTGTCCAGCTCAGGCACAGTAAATACGGGTAGATACAACCCACATACACAAAAGCTCTTTGGGTCCTCAGTAGTTTTTAAGTGTGTACAGGGGCCCTAAGACCAAAACACAGAGAAACTGGGACCCCACTGGCTTCCCTTGGACATGTGGATCGAGCGTCTCTGCTGCTCTGGCTGACCTGGGTGTGTCCTCGTGGGTTCCTCCTTGCACACCCTCTGGTCCTCTTTGAAGGACCGAGATGAGCCTGAGCTTTATTTATTTATTTACTTACTTATTTTTTTGAGGCAGAGTCTCACTTGGTTGCCCTGGGTAGAGTATAATGGTGTCAGCCTAGCTCACAGCAACCTCAAACTCCTGGGCTCAGGTGATCCTCCTACCTCGGCCTCCCGAGTAGCTGGGACTACAGGCACGTGCCACCACGCCTGGCTAATCTTTCTATTTTTAGTAAAGACGGGGTCTCGCTCTTGCTCAGGCTGGTCTTGAACTCCTGAGCTCAAGCCATCCTCCTGCCTCAGCCTCCCAGAGTGCTAGGATTATAGGTGTGAGCCACGGCGCCCGGCCGAGCCTGAGGTTTAGTCATACCTGGGACAAACAGGACAGAGCTTATAAACTTTTGGGTAAAAGCAGGTGTTTCTCCCCTCCTGAGGCTTCTCCTGGGATGTGGGGGCTTTGCTGGCAGTGAAGCCCCTGACCAGGGTCTTCGGGTGATGTAAGGTGGGTGGGTGCTGGCCCAAAGGCCCCTACGCAGGTAGGTCTGCAAATGAGGTCCAGAGTGAGGGGCACTGCACTGGGAGTCAGGATCCTAGCAGGCTGTGCTACCCTGGGCAAGTGGCTTTCCCTCTCTGAGTCTGTTTCCTCGGCTGTAAGGTGGGTGACTACTGATCACTACAGCTCACGGTCGTCAGGGAGGTCAGCCGAGGTATTGGATCAAAAAGTGATCTTGAGAGCTTTAGAGGTGGCCGATGTGAGGATAGGCGGTGGGTAGTCAGGGCCGGGTCAGACTACCCTGGAATGCTGGTGCCTGTCCCATTTTCACGTCCTCTGGACACAGACCCTCCTGGGTATCTGGAAGGCTCCCGGGCTGCTCCATGTTCAATGACAAAAAGAAGAGTTCCGGGCTGGCTGCAGCACGGAGGGAGTAACGTGGAGGTGACTGAGCGGTGAGGCCTCTTGCGGTAGCTGGGGGACAGCATCTGTGAGCGGAAGGTCTCGAGGGGAGACGAGTCTGTGAGCAGCCCGCGTGACTGGCATCTAGAACAGAAACAGGCTCGTGAGATGTGTATCGTGGCAGGTGCTCCAGACGCCAGCTGAGCTCCTCTACCTCCTGCTTGGGCCAGCCGTGCTCTGGGCAAGGACGGCAGGTGGGACTGTGCCTGTTTCACCTGGGAGGAAACTGAGGCACAGGGGGTTAAAGGTCAAAATGCCACATTCATGCTAGAGCCCCAGCAGGCACTGAGGGCATTCAGGCTTCAAGGGTTTCCTGGGCACCTCTTCTGTGCCCAGCCCTGGGGGGCCCTGGTGGCCGGGGGCTGGCAGCCCACTGACTGGAAGCAGCGGTTCTCCACCTTGCTTCTGAGCGGGGCCTCCGGAATCCTGCACGATGGGGCCCCGTCCACCCCCGCCCTTTCCGCCTCACTCATGCTGGCCACACTGGCCTCTTTGTCATCCCTGGAACCCGCCGCCATGTCTGCCTCGGGCTGTGCTCACCTTGCCTCTGCCTGGGCTGCTGGGGCCCTCCCCTGCCTTCCTCCCACCCTGAGTCTCTGCTCAGCTCTCACCTTCCCCACGGAGCCAAGTCTCATCGCCTCCTGCAACTGGCAACCCTGGATGCCCAGCCCACTCTGCCCGGGTGATAGGGGGCTGGGCGATGGGGTCCAGGGTGATGGGGGGGTCCCAGTGGTAGGGGCCCGGGTGATGGTGTGTGCTCTGACCACAAAGGAGAGGGGGCCACCTCTGGCATGGCAGGGACCCAGCACAAAGTGGGAGGTCTCTCCTCGAATGTCCCCTCTTTCTGAGGCTCGAGACAGAGCTGGGTGGGTGAATGGGGGAGAGGACATCGGGGTCCCTGCCTGTGGGGTCCCACGGAAACATCCCACTGAGGGGAGAACACTCCCCATGCTCAGTTCTGGATGGAGGACCCAGCCTGCTAGAGAAGGAGGAAACACAATAGTGTAACCCTGCCCCCGCTGGGTGGCAGTGCCGGTCCTGTGGGTGGACCAGGTGCCCTCTCATGCGCCGTCCTGTGCGGCTTCTCCTCAGGGGTGTGCAGTGATGGCCACCTGTGATCCCCGAGGAAGCCGTCCTTCCTCTCTCGCATGAGACAATGGCCTGTGTGTGCCCAGAGGGCATCTCTGTACGTCCCCTGCAGGGTCCTGGTGGGCCTGGAGGTGTCCATGCCTCCCCTCGCTGCTGCTGAGGAGGTGCAGTGCCAGGCAGAGCCGGGCCACACGGGCCCTCGGCAGGGTGCCCCAGGCAGCCACTCTGATCAGCCTGAGGGAAGGTTCTGGAAGAGATTGCGGCCATCCCCCGGGTGGTCCATGGGCAGTGGCAGGGGCTCCCAGGAGTGGCCGGAGCCTGCCCGCCCACCATGCTGCAGTGCAGACCAGCCCAGGAGTTCAGCTTCGGCCCCCGGGCCCTGAAGGACGCCCTGGTCTCCACCGACCCGGCCCTGCAGCGGCTCTACGTCTCCACCTTCTCCCCCGCCGAGAGGCTCTTCCTGTCCGAGGCCTACAACCCCCAGCGGAGCCTCTTCTGCACGCTGCTCATCCGCACTGCCTTCGACTGGCTCCTGAGCCACCCCGAGGCCCCGGAGGACTTCCAGACCTTCCACGCCTCCCTGCAGCACAGGAAGCAGAGCCTGGCTCGGAAGCACATTTACCTGCAGCCAATAGGTATGGGAGGGACGGAGCATCGGGACCCTCCTGGAGGGACCAGTCTCGTAGATAGCACAGGGGGGCCCCTCTATGCAGGGGGTGTCTTGTGCAAGGGCCTCCAGGCAGGGAAGAGGGAGGGTGCTGGACATGTTCAGGACTTGGGGCTGGAGGTGGGAGGCCCCGGGGCCATGGGACTGTTCCCCATGCAGGTGCTGCCTTGTCCAGAGGTGCGTGGCCCTGGCCACATCTGCCGAAACCAGTGCTGTGTCGGGCAATGTGCCATGTGCTTGTAAGATCACTTCCCTTTGGGGGCTAAGAGTAGGGTCAGCCCATTTTGCAGGTGAGGACACTGAGGCTGACAGAGGTCACGGGTAGAGGCAGCACTGGGCGCAGGTCTGTGTGACTCTGAGGCTGTGCTGGGAGATGCTGGGATGGGCACGGTGGGGACCCAGGGGCCCCGGTGTGGTCACCATCCTCTAGAACTCTTCGTCTGGCAGAGATTGGGGGATACAGGGTGGGCCGAGGGCTGAGGCCCCACAGGGAAGAGCTCCGTCAGGTGCAGGGAGCAGGAGTGCCTGGGCCGGCCACTGTGCCTCTCAGCGTGCCAAGGTTAGGGTGACAGTGGCCCAGCAGAAAGGGCATGAAGGACACGTGGCACTCGGCTGGAGAGGAGCAAAGGGCTGGCGTTGAGCTTGAGACATGGGCGCGCCACGCTGCCCCCCTGGGGGCTGCATCTCACAGCGAGCCAGAGGAGGGCAGGACCTCAGCCAGCCTCATCCTACACGGGCTTGTCGCTAGCCTCACGGTCCACACGGCCCCCTTCCTGCCCCTTGGGACAGAGTCCTGCAGGTGTCCGTTGGTCTCACTCTCCGTCACCCTGCAGCCAAGCTGCCACCTCTGCCTGTAGATTCTGCCTCCTGAATTGCTCCGGAACCATCCATTTCCCTCTGCCTCCCTGCTGACAGCTCAGAGCTGCGCAGACTCGTGGCATCTTGTCGAAATGCCGGTCTGGGCTCCGAGGCCTGGCTGTGCATTTCTAAGCGGCTCCTGGCAAGGCCAGTGCTGCTGCAACCACTTCCGCTGGTCTCCTGCCCCCACCCTTGGTCTGTGTCCATCTGTCCTCCCAACATGTGCTCTGGCGTGTCCCTCCCTCCGTGGCTCCTCCCAGCCCTGAGAGGCCACGCCAGCGGCACCTGCACCCCACGTCCTCTCTGTTCCAGCCGGGCTGGTTCGCAGCCATTGACTGACCTGCCTGCTCTGCCAGCTGTGCTCGCCTGGTCGGGAGTCCCTGCCTCGAGATTGTCCGGCCCCGCCATGGGCCCCTCCGCCCGCTCCCTCCCTGAGTGCATGCGTGATTGCGACTAACATCCTTTCATCTGGGCATTGGCCTTTCTTCCTTTCTTGTCCTTTTGGAAAAGCCATGCTTGCCATCTCTCTGGCTGGGAGGGCAGGTCCACGTTGCTATCCTTTAGCTGCTGGCCATGCTGGTGGGGCTCCCTGGGGGTGGGCCTGGGAGGGTGGGGGCCCAGTGGGGCTGACGGTGCTGCTCTGCCCCCAGATCTGAGCGAGGGGCCGGTGGGGGGCTCCCTGCTGGACAGCCTGCGCAGCTGCACGGAGGCCTTCTTCCTGGGCCTGCGGGTCAAGTGCCTGCCCTCGGTGGCAGCCGCGTCCATCCACTGCTCCTCGCGCCCCAGCCGGGACTCCAGCAGGCTCCAGCTCCACACGGGTGAGTGAGGATGGGGCACGGCTCAGGCCAAGGGAGGCCGGGTCCCTACCACTTAGCAAAAGGCCCTTTCCAGAGCCTGGGCAGGAAATGAAACTTTTTTTTTCTTTTGGCGGGAAACATCTATTTCCTGGTCTTTTGGAAAGGAGGACTAGAACAAGGAGTTCCTTTCCCACCCAGAAGAGTGTCTGGGACTTGACCATACAGCCCAGCATCCTCTGGAAAATTCCAGAGCATTCAGGGCAGGTGAAGCAAGCTCTTTTATGGCCACTCAGCATCTCTCCTGCCTTTTGTCTCTGTAAACCAATTTATGTGTGTCTAGAAGATCTCTACCCCACCCCCAAACCCCTGCCCCTTCCCTGAAGATTATTGGCAGCTAGAGAGTAAGGCTGGGTTGAGAGGTGTAGATGGATTGAAGGTTCTCAGACGAAAAGGAGACCCAGGCTCAAGTTTAGGGATGTCCCCAAGAAGGGGCTGGGGCTCTGCCTTTGTTTGGCTGACATTGGATAGGGAGTGAGTGGATGGACATGTTTCATCAGATCTGGGAAATTCTCAGCCATTGCCTCTTTCTTTCAAATATCAATTCTGCCCCATTCTCTTTCTCCTCTCCTGGGACTGTAATTGGATGTATATTAATCAATTTTACTTTCTTTTCTGTATCTTTATTTCCTCTGTATTTCTTTTTTGCACGTTCATGCTTTAGTCTCAGTTTATTCTCATCCTCTAGTTTACTAATTCTCCCTGCCGTAGGTGGTGCTGTCGCAGGTAATATCGCTTCTCCCTCACTGGTTCTCCTGAGAGATGCAGGGACGTCATGCCTCCATCCCATCCATGCCGAGGACTGTGGTACCTCAGAGACCCCAGCACTGAGTCCCATAGGGGTCTCTCCTGGGCTCTCCACCCCCACCGCTTAGCGAGTAACTGCTAAGCCCACACTTCGGAGGAGACATGGAGCCCCGGGAAGCTCTCGGGAAAACAACAGCTAGAAAGGAATTGGGCTCAGGAAGGTTCAAGAAGCAGGTAGAACCCAGAGGCTATGCTGACCTGCATGCCTGTGGTTAGATTAGCTTGCTTTAGATCACTGTATTAGTTTCCTGGGACTGCTGTGACAAATGACCTCATCTTAACTTGATTACATCTGCAAAGACCTTGTTTTCAAATAGGGTCACCATTACAGGTACCGGGGGTTGGACTTCAACCTATCTTTTTGGGGGTCATAATTTCATCCGTAACAATCATCGTTGTCACCTTCACAGTAAAAATTCCCTGGCCTGTCCTCCAATTTAAAAGTGTTTGTTACATGTTAAGATATCATTTTAGATACATTAGGTTAAATCAAATTTATTAAATCAATGTAATGTTTCTTTTTACTTTAAAATTAGGGAAATTTAACATTTCAAGTTACACGTGGGGCTTGTGCTGCATTTCTGCAGGCCAGGGACGCACTTTGCTTTTACCAACGACTGCGGCGTCTCTGCGATCGGATTCTGAACAGTTTACCCTAAGGCCCCTCCGGAGTCTGCGGCCGGTTGCGCTAGCACAGGCTCTGATGGCACTTTGACCTCTGGAAGCCCACTGTCCCTTCTCTGCCTGGGTCTCAGTTGTCACCTCCCCAGGCTGTGACTTCAGGGTTCTTTATAATCATGCCCTGGTACACCCTCCTTCGCTTGCGACACCCGACCCCATCTGCCACGTGGCTGAACGCGACAGGAGGGGTCTCCTTGCAGACCCGTGACCACAAGCCCAAGGGCCCTTGGTGTGCCTGGCAGTCCCTGGCCTTCCTGCCTCTTCTCTTTTACTCGCTTCTCCTCTGTCTTCTTTTCTGATTCTGTTCGCTGAGGAAATGCGAACAAAGGAGAACTTCCACACCTTCCTCCCACCTGCCCACACCTGGGCTGCCACTCGGCCTTCCCTCTTCTCTTACCATCAGACCTCCAGCTCCTTGTCAAGGCCACCCCGCCTGCTCACAGACCCCACCGAGGTCCCCACCCCACCTGCTCACAGGTCCGGCTCCTACACCCTTCCCTCTTCCGCATCAGACACGGGCACTGACATTCCCCATCTTATTAATATTAATAAAAACCTCTTTTGCCCCCTGTGCCCGTGGCTCCCACCCCATTTATCTGTTCCTTTTTATAGCAAAACCCCTTGGAAAATGCTTTTCTCTGCTGGCAGTCTCTGCCCTGCATGCCCTCCCCAGGTGACTCCTGACTGTCTGCCGGCCCTCTCCCCTCAGATGGCATCCTGTCCTTCTTGAAGAACAACAAGCCGGGTGACGCACTGTGCGTGCTGGGCCTCACGCTGTCCGACCTGTACCCCCGAGAGACCTGGAGCTACACCTTCGGCAAGTTCCTTCCAGGGCACGGTGAGCCTCCTGCCTGGGAGGGAAGCTGGCGCGGCTCCTCAGCCTCTGCGGCCCCCACAGGGCAGGGCACCCTCCTGGGGAAGCGTATGTGTGTCTGGAAACAGCCGGGGCCATGCCTCAGGCTTGGCTTCTGCCCCAGGCCTGCCCTCATGTAGACACACACGCTGGCAGGGCAGGGCCTCCCAGGCCTTGCGGGTCCTCAGGCTGTGGCCGGGTGGCAGGAGAGAAGGAGATGGGTTTGGTGGTGGGTTCCCCAGAGCCCAGGCTGCCCCTTGAGCCCCCTTCTCTCTGCTTCTCCCCAGAAGTGGGCGTCTGCAGCTTTGCCCGGTTCTCGGGGGGATTCTTGCAGTCAGGGCCCGGCACCCCTGACCGCGCCCTGGTGGAGGCAGCAGCAGATGGCCCTGAGGCCCCCCTGCAGGACAGAGGCTGGGCCTTGTGCTTCAGTGCCCTGGGGATGGTCCAGTGTTGCAAGGTGGGCTCGGTGGCTGGGGGCGCTGCCCAGGGGCCCGGGAAGATGGGGGGGGAGGGGAAAGGCTGGGAATACGGAGGACATGCAGTCGAAGGACTCGTGCGGATGCTGGTTGAGCCGTGTCTGTCTGACTGCCCCAGAGCCAACCACACCAGTTCACCTTTTTCTCTGGGTGCAGCTGGGCCAGAGCTGCCAGCAGCGCCCCACGCAGCCTGGGGCAGTGGGGGCACTCGGGCATCAGGGCGTCAGGCTTCTAGGGGAGGCTTCCGAGGCTCCCCAGGGCTTGAGCTCCGAGGCAATGGTGGCGGTGACTTTCCCCCCAGGTCACGTGCCATGAGCTCTGCCACCTCCTTGGCCTGGGGAACTGCCGCTGGCTCCGCTGCCTCATGCAGGGCGCGCTCAGCCTGGACGAGGTGCTGCGGCGGCCCCTGGACCTCTGCCCCATCTGCCTGCGGAAGCTGCAGCACATCCTGGGCTTCAGGCTCCTCCAGAGGTACAAGGTGAGTGTGCCACCTGCTGCGGCCCGACACGAGCTCCAGAGGCTGCGAGCAGAAGCCCGAGAGCGCCACCTGGAGACCAGCAGGTGGAAGGACGGCCCCAGGACCAGGGGCTCATCCTCATTTCTGGGGAAGATTTGTTTGTACTCTGAACTCAAAGAGTTTCTGAGTTTGCAAAGGCCAGTGGTGTTTATTTTTCTTTAAACCCACCTTTGGATGAAAACAAGTTAGTTAAAAGTTTTCATTGAATGAAGGCACGAGAGCTATCAATGAAATAGCTTCAGCTTAATTTTAAAACTGAAAGTTTTAAAGGAACCTCATTGTGTGCAGTTCTGGGCAGCTCCTGCCTCCTCCTCTTTAAGGCTGGGTGGGCTGGGCTGCAGAACAGCTGGTTTCTGGGGTAAGTTAGGGCAATGGTTCCCAGGCCAGCAGGTCGGACGCCCTGGAGCGCTGGGCCCTGCCCTCTTCATTCCCGCCTCTGGGCCCGAGAGTCTGCACTTTGCACAGGCTCACAGGTCTGGCCCCCTCAGCTGAGGGCCCTGAAATGGAGGCCCGGGCATCTCCAGGTCACAGAGCTACCCCACGTGGATCTTCTCTGAACGACCCTGGGGGTCAGGAGAATACCAAGGGTGTACCTCGGAGATGCCCCCCCTAGTTAGAAGGCCAGAGGCAGCCTGGGCTGGGGGTCGAGTGTGTGTCTCAGCAGCTCATCTGCCGGACGGGGAGCAGGGCCTTCCTCACCCGCAAAGGCTAGCTGCCTGCTGCTATCCTCGTGTCCGATCAAGGGCGGCTCGTAGTATCCATCCATACGAGGCTGTGCAGATGGCTCAGTCTGCAAAATGGGTTGAGATTTCTCACTTTTTGTCCTTCCCTTGGGGAACTGTTCAACTGTCTGACATGAGCTATTGTAACTTTATATGCTCCCTTGCACACCCCAACCAGGACTGTGCCTTCCCCAGACTCGTAACCTGGTGACTAGTCCCTGGATCCATCCGGGATCTGAGTGGGAGGTGGCTCCTCTTCCGCGAGCACCACCTCACATGGCCGTGGAGGGCTCTGGAGACCCAAGAGCGCCCTGGGCCCTCCTGGCTGTTGGGGGAGGTGCAGATGTGGGGTCACCTGCTGTCCCTGGCAGTCGGGCCAGCCCGAGGACTCTGGCAGGCGCTGGACAGCTGACAGAGGGCCTGGCCAGAAAAGGTCTCTGCCGCCGTTAACAGCACTCAATGAAATGTCCTCTCACAGAGCGAGTCCTGTCTGTGGTGTCCACCCATTCCCGTGGTGTGAACCATGGCTGATCTCCAGCTGCCAGCGTGTCACCGAGTGCCCAGGTGGGAGGAGGTGTGCGGTGGCCATGGGCATGCAGCACGTCCACCACACAGATCCAGGAGATGAGGGTAACCTTAAAGCAGAGTAAAATGTAGAAAATACCCAGGAAGTGAGTTTTGAGTGCCTTTGCTCTAAAAACTTTTAATTATGAGCTTTATACAATTTAACTTTGAACGGTGGCTGGGTTAACAGCTGGCTTTCGAAGTTCCTGAAAGGTGAACAGGGGCTCTAGCGAGCAGGTATATCTGGCTCCGGCACAGCCGGACTCCAGTCCCCAGAGACTGCTGGCTGGAAGAGCCCTCACATCGCCCACCTGACATGGTCCCCTGGGTAGCTGACAACGCTGGGTCCCCTTCGGTAAGGAGCTGGGTCTCCTGGCACATCCCTGGCTAGACAAGTGCCTGGGCAGAGAGAACTCAGCCTGTGTTTCTCCCTCTTAGAGACTCCACGCCTGGACTCGGGTGGTGGCAGGAACGTGGCCCAGCCAGGAGGCAGGGGAGCCGTCTGTGTCGGAGGACACCCTGCCCATCAGCGCCGACTCAGGCGTGTGCTGCGAGAGCGACTCGGAGCCCGGCAGCAGCCTGTCAGAGCCTCTCACGCCCGACGCCGGCAGCCACGCCTGCTCCTTGGGGCCAGAGCTGGAGCCCGAGGATGGGCTGAGCTCCCTGGTGGCCTCCGAGGCTCCACCGCTGCTTGGGAGCCCTGCAGAAGCCATCAAGGAGCATGAAGGGTGGCTGGCCATGTGCATCAGGGCCCTGGAGAGGGAAGGGGCTGAGGAGGAGCTGGCGCAGGTGGACCAAGCTGTGGACGCCCTTGACCGGTGGGAGATGTTCACAGGGCGGCTCCCAGCCACCAGGCAGGACCTGCCCCGTGGCCGAGACAGCGTGGGGCTGCGCAGGGTGCTGGGGGGCACGTTCTCCTCCCTGAGGAGGAGGCTGAGTGCTCGCAAACTCTCCAGGGCGGAGTCTTCCCCCTGCCGCCGGGACGGGGAGGAGAACTAGCACAGCATGGGCTGTCCCATGGCTGTCACTGTCCAGTGACCGAGGGTGCGGACACACCGGGGATTAATAGGAAAGGTCCTCTCAAGGAGCTGCAGAAGATCTGTCTTCAGACGGCTCTTTCAGCCTGTGTCGCGCCAGCAGCCCCAGCACCCCGCTGGTGCCTCTCAGCGAGCACTTGGACGTGGCTGTGCGTGGCTCCTCGCCTGCTGAGGGAGCAGGGTGCTCCCTGTCTCCTTCCAGGGGGCGCAGTTGGGGCTGCTGAGTCTGCTCACTTATTTCGGGCCAGAGCGGGAGAGGCTGTCCCAGGTGCTGGCACAGGGGTGGCCTGGGGGCAGGCGGGCTCTGCTACTGCACACCCAGCTGCCAAGGCTGGTACTGGTTGGTCTCAGCTTAAAGAGAAAGCGAGGGGGTTTTGTTTCTCTCTAAAGTGTCAAACACACACCCAGGGCCACTTTCTGCAGCACTAATGGCTCTGGTCCATGAGCGTCTCTGAAAGTTCTGGAGAATTTGCCCACTGGGCTTTGCCTTCTCTTCTGACAAACGCTGCAGGAAAGGCGGGTGTCTAACGGTGTATGTGACACAGAGGCCACCTCAGTCCCAGGCTGCTGTTGGTTGTCACTCATGGTGGCGAAGGTAAATAGCAGGGTGTTCTCAGGACCATTTCCTGACAGAGGCAGCTGGTAAGGGTGGTGTTCAGATCATCCGCGTCTTTACTGGCTTCGTCTAGTTCTGTCAGTGGCTGAGAGAGGGGTGCTAAGATATCCGACCATGGCCGTGGAATTGTCTGTTTCCCTTTAAATTTGACAAATTTTGCTTCCTGTATTTCAAAGCTCTTTTATGTCATATACATTTGTTTCCTGGTGAATCGACCCATTTATCATCGTGAAACGTCCCTGTCAGTCTGCAGTGCGAGAGTCCCAGGGAGAGAACCTTCCAGCTCCGAGAGCAGAAGCCCTTCATCATGAGGAGGATGGGCAGGGCTCTTTTCCCATCTGAGAAGAGGCAAGAACTGGGCAGTTTGTAGGTTTTGTGGGTGGGTAGCTTACACAGTTTTGGGGGCCTTCTGAGAAAATCTAAAATACAAATTTAAAAGCCCCTCAGTCCCAGAAAACGCAAAGGGATGAGTACATACTGAATTTTAAAAAACAGTCTCGCTCCGTCACACAGGCTGGAGTGCAGTGGTGCAATCATAGCGCACAGCAGCCTTGAACTCCCAGGCTCAACCATCCTCCCGCCTCAGCCTCCCAGAGTGCTGGGATTACAGGCATGAGCCACTGTGCCTGGCCTTACTGAATTTAGAGAAGATGCAGCTCGGAAACAGTACTGTACCTCTTCAGTGCCCCATTCTCTTTCCTGGGACCTGGGAGGTGACGGTGACGGAATGCAGAGGAGAAGAGCCAGGCCTTTCCGAGAGTGACCATGGAAGATGCCAGCAGAGAGTGCAATATAGTAACAAAAGACAAAGGCCAATGCCAGTGTCTATTACTGCAAACAGGCCGCCTAAAACTTGATGGCTTAAAGCCACAACAATCTGTTTAGCTTATGGATCTGTAATTTGGGCAAAGCCTGGTGGGGAAGGTTTGCCCTGGGGCTCAGCTGGAGGGTCTGCCTCAGCGATGGTTCGCTCTCGTGGCTGCTGGTGGAAGTGGGCCGGGAGCTCAGCCAGAGTCTTGGTTCCTGCCCACACGAGCCCCTCTGTGGGGCCTGGGCTTCCTCACAATATGGCGGCTGCTGTCCCAGGGTGGGCATCCCGAACGTCAGATGGAAGCTCTGGGGCCGTTCATAACTTGGCTTCAGAAGTTGTAGAGCATCGCTTCTGTCACACTCTATCGAGGCAGTCACAAAAGGCCACCCAGGTTCATGGGGGGCAGACACAGATTCCATCTCAGAATGGGGACGTGGCGTGAGCATTTTCTGGAAGAGAATGTGAGATAGGAAAATACGGTTGTGGCCATTTATGAAAAATCTGCCCCAGTGTTTGCTGCTTGGATTCGGCTCCCACACCTGCTACATAAACGTACCTGTTTTCCAGGTTCCTTCTGTCTTCTGCAGAAGGCTAATCACCGAATGCCATAAGACTAAACAGAGGTAACCACAACCCGAATAGCCCGGCTCAGCCTGAGGGTGGTTGCTCATCCAGGTCCCGCACGTGCCAGGGGCTTGTTACCAAGTCCTTAGCCCTGTCTCGCTGTGCCCATGGCCTTTGGCTCCCAGCTGTGATGAGGACCCTCAAAAAGTGTTTTGAAGCGAGAGGGAACAAACCACTAAAAATAGAACTTTTATCCATAGCCTTTACCAGTTGCAGATGGGAGTGAAATTTTTTAAGATAGCTTCTGGGAGGAACAGTTTTAAAAATAAAAGTTTTAAAAATAAAACTTTTAGGAACAGAGATCAAAGTTTCCTTTCTCTGCTCAGATCTTAGCCCCAGGTCCTGTCCATGATGAAGGGGAAAGTAATGTGGGACAGTCACAGGGGGAGACGGCTCTGTGGGTGGGGGGATAACGAGTGCTACTCTCCTAGTGACGTCACAGCACGGGGGTCTCTGTACACTCTGAGCTGAGACAGGGCACAGCTGAACACTGTAGAGTTGAACTGAGCTAGAGATAATGGTTTCCAAGAAACGAGGAGCCTTTTTTCTTTTTAATTTTAAAAATGCAAAGTCAACTTACTTCTTCCTTGTCTGTCAAAAGTCCGAGGTTTGTGAGGACAGGTCTTGCAGCTGGACGACGGCCCCTCTTCTGAGAACCTCACCCATCTCAGTAGGTCAAGTCAGAGGAGCTTGAATGGAGCTAAAAATATGTTAGGGTCGTGACGTGTACTGTCTGCATAACCGCTAGCGCAGGAGATGGGGCGAGGGAAGATACCACGCGCCTTCTGAAGTAGCTGCAACACTCACCCATCACAGCCACATTCTGAGGAGGGACTGAGAAACAGGGCCCCCATCTAAGAGGCAAATCCCTCTTCGGGCAGCCCTGACGCCCCTCTGCTGGCCTCCCATTCATGCCCCTCTTCCTCCCTAAAGCCCAAACCCATCAGACTCCTGCCGTGGTGTGAGCCCAACGGGACAGGAAGGTGATGCAGCTCTGCCCCACCCGTTTCAGGAGGGAGAGATGTGGGCCTGTTAGCCCCGCCCTGCGGGACATCTGAGTCAGACCCTCCCTGATGACACAACGCTCCAAAGGGCTTAAAAAAAACAAACATGCAACGGCTTAGTCAAGCAGCTAATGGTCTAGCTAAGAGTCCAAATTTAGATCCCACCAAGTTCAAAGGGGATGCTAAAACACTCCGGGGACACACCCACTACAGGAGTTCTACGTGTGGTGCCAAGAGGAGCCGCAGTCCAGACCCAACGGGCAGGGGCAGCCGGGCCTCGGAGGGAGGGACTGGCTGCTGTCCCCAACCAAACCTGCTCGAGAAAGGCAAAGCTTCCCTTACAAATAAACTTACCTCCTAATGAGTCCCTTCTAAGTACCACCCACCATCCTCGACTGTCCAAACAGCCATGCAAGGCAGATGCCATCGTGCCCCTGTCGTGCCTGCAGAAGCTGAGACCCAGGCAGGTTTGGTCACATGCCTGAGCCTCGGACGAGGTAGAGCTGAAATTCAGACATCGTCTGTTCTCGAGCCCTGTGTTCCTCCCTGGCTCTGTGACTTTCTTAGGGAAGGTGCCAGGATCTCGAAGGCCTGCACCCCGACCCCTGGGCAGCCCCACCTAGCGCCTGCCCCGCGGTGTCTGACGACCAGGAAGCATTCTGGCTGCTGCAGCACTTTCAGGCTCTCTGAGGGGAGGCCTGGGTGGGTGGCCGGTGCTCTTGGGTGCAGATGCCAACTAAAACAAACCTGGAGTTGCTGGGGCTTCACTGGTTTGTTTGTGCAAGAAGGGTGAGTCCCCAACAGGAATATTTTTATCCTCGGGAAGACGGCAGAATCAGGTCTTCAGGAGGAGGCTCGCAGACCTGCCCTGGGGCCTGCCTGTGCTGTGAGGGGACAAAGGCTGTCCTTCTGTGTCCACTCAAGCGAGGGCCACGGAACTTCTGAAGCCCAGCGCCTTCCGGGGGAGGCTGGGGGTCAACTCAGCCCGGATCCGGGCGCCTGGTGCTCTCCCCGCAGCTGCGTGTCGGGCTGGTTGGTTTGATCCCTGTGGGACAACTACATGCAGAGGAGCCCCCCGGGTTCCAAAGAAACCCAAGGAAACAGCAAATTTATGGCCCTTAGAACGACAGGCTGTCAAAGGTAAACACTGCGGAGTAACCTAGGAAGTATCTCCCGCTTTACTGTGAAGAACTGTGGCTTGTGAAAGCTGTTAAAATAAATGCAAATAACTGGTGGAAATGGCTAACAAAGTCTTTCCTTTTCCAACATTATACAGCATCACCTTGATTAATGAGAACCCGAAATAACTGAGGTTTATTTTTGAACTCAGCTTCTTGGGTAAAGAGGCAAATGAAAACAAGCTCATGTCAGGGGTTTATTTTAAACAGAAATTTCCAAGAAACATCCTGGGGTCATCACACGTTCAGTCCAGCTCTCCCCCTGCAGTGTTCCCCGTGAAGAACGGAGACCATCCAAGGTATGCGCCGGCGTCACTGAACGCAACCGCCCCCGCTTCCTAGGGCTGCACAGGGACCACGCCCACCCGTGCTGACAGCAGTTCCTGTCCAGTCTCGCACCCTGACACGACCCCGCGTGCTCACAAAATTAACCAGAAACTAAATCAACCAGGTGCCACGAATGAGGCCACTCCAAATGCCCACCACCCGGGCACCGTAACGAACACACATTTGTCGTGTTGAAACTGGGCCCAGCCCAGCGTCACTGGCTCCACCAAACTGCCCCAGCCTGTTCCCGCCACACAGGCTACTGCGCTCCCAACTCCACTCCGGCCCTCTGCACCTGCCTTTCTCAGGGTGGGTGCTCCGCCCGCCACGGTCGCCTGGTGCTCTGGGTACCGCCTGCTGGTCTTTATGGCATTTAGCACATGCTCATGTCTGTAAGAGGCCTCCCGCATCAGTCTGTGGCCAGGGGGAAGGAATGAGGATGTCATGTTTTGTTCGTCCCCGACTCACCTGTCACAAGGACAAAGGTGGCTGAGCACAGTGGGAGGCTTCTGGGACAGCGTCCGGTCAGGCTGAAGCCGATGCCCCTCCTCAGTCAGGCTTTTAGTGACAAAAGCTGATTTACTTTTCACGGTTGCTTCCAACACCTGTCTAAAGTAAGGGCTCAATTTCAAATGCAGCGGAACTGTCCGTCGTTAGTGGGCCGGCCCTTTTCATCCTGAGGGACCGTGCTAGCCGGGCTCAATCTGCGGTTGGGGACAGCTGGGCAGGCCGTGCAGGGCTGAGCTGCCACCTGGCTCCCGGGGGTCCCTCTCCCTGTGTTCTGCCCAGCCATGGCCATGCCCCGGGAGAAGCTTGGTATCAGTGACAGGCCTGTCGCCCTGCTTCCCTTAGAGGCAGTGGCACAGGAACCAGGGGATGGAGCTGCTTGGCCGGGGGGCCTGGGAAGAAGAGGCAAGGACGTGCGTGGAGAGAACGCAGCCGGCAGGGGCGCAGAGCATACAAGCAGGAAGAAGTGGGAAGGGACAAACATGCAAAGGCGACTGGGCCGCCTTTCACCCACGCCCCTCTGCATGGCCGGTAGCAGGTCCCACGG